CATAATTACAAAAAAATGAACAAAATGAAAAATTATGATTGGTTGAATGCGGTTTGCACGGTTTGTACAAATTGAGTGGTTTGCATTTGATCGCTCCCCTATATATATATATATATATATATATATATATATATATATATATGAGACAAATACTTAGCAGGATCCTAGATATCATCGGATCAGAAATTCTTTGGTAATTATCTTTTTGAAGTATTGGGTGTATAATTACTTGTACAAAAACTCTACTACAACTAATACATCACAGTTACAAAGCGATAAAGAGGTTTTCAAATACCACACATTAATTTTAATTAAAAAAAACCAAATATTAATTATTTAAAACATAAATATATTTATTGAAGAAAAAAAAAACATCTAAAAGCAGCCCTCCTCGGACTTATTGAATCCATCATCAATAAAATATCCATATATTTAACAACATTTTTTTATTAAGTATAAATAATATTAAATAAAATTAAAATTAAAAAAGAATTAATGCAATTTGGCAGGTAATGATATAGTAAGATAGAGTCTAGATTTAAAAGGGTGGGGGTGGGGGCCAGGAGGACGGATTAGATACGCCAAAGTAGACATTTAATGGGAAAGAGACATTTTAAAATAATTATGAAGAAAGAAGGGGGATCCTTAAAAGTAGGTTTTTCTTTTTCTCTGCCAATTTACAACCATCTGTCGCTTTATGACCGGCATCCCACTCCTTTTAACTTATGTTCCCCTTTCTTCTTTTTTCATCAATGGTCCCCCGTTTAATGTGGATTGTCAATCTACTACCTTCTTAGAATTAGGTTCCAATTCAAATTAGGGTTATTCATGGTTCGGTTTGACAATACTCATCATATAACAGTCTTCTCTTTTACTTACCGATTACATGACACCGACTAAACATCACGGTATTTTCAAAGATGATATAATTTATTAGAGCCGTCTCAGTACAAATCCAATATAAAATCACCCGAATAGATAAACAACGGAATTTCCTATGTTTTTGTTTGACAAATTATGTCCCCAAAGGATTAGGCCAAGAAAAACAAGATACATATATATAAACCTTAGATCATTCATCTATTGATTTTATTTGGAGAAAAGTTCAATGTAGTTATTATGCAATAGAGTCGGCTATGGCCGGATCACCATTCATAAATAGCAACCAAACGATAATTGCAATATAAATTCAAGTCAACTACTCTTATTTCTAAACGTCAGAAATGATTAAAATAACATATATCTTATTCAATATTGAATTTTCAATTTTTTCTTAAATTTAGAGATTCTTATCTTTGTTTTAACATACACTTTAACATAACCGTTTATAATTATTAGAATTCTCATTTTAAGTATAACTAGAAATGGTTTTATTTCTTAATGGGCAAATTACATGTAGAATTAATGTATTTTAACTTGATTTTTATTTTGGATAACATATTTTTAAAACTTTCATTTTGGTATCTAATATGTAAAGTTTTAAACATTTAAATATCCAGGTAACTGGTTACCATGCTGATGTGATGAAGTTAAGTTGAATAACA